ACACGACACTCGCGTGAAGGGGGCCCCGGAGCCCCAACCTCCAGAGGGACAACCTGGGGAAACGGACCCCCCCCTGATTACTCGTGCGAACCCCTCTCTGACCTAAAGCTTCTCTTCCGAAAATCAACAAAAGTCTGTCTCAAAAGAGCAGACGACTAATTGTAGGAATCAACTGTGCTCAGAGGGGAGCTAGTGACCTTGGCCGGGGGAACCATATACAACACTGACATCATAAAAAAGCTAACAGCCACCCTGGCCACAGCGGCCAGCGAGACTGGCCCGGACTTCCAGATGGGACAAAAGTCCGCCGACTCACTGGCCGGTATGGTCCTGGGGGACCGAGTTGCCCCGGATCATCCTTAGCTTCCCCGGGGAGGAGGGGGCGGGGGTCTGTGCACCGGGCAGCACGTGGAGCTGTTTTCACGTGGATGCACGCGGCCTAATTGGAGGAGGCGCGGACAGACCACTGGGAAGGCCGCCTGGCTGCAGAAACCAGGCCGCCTGACCTGGTGAACACTTCTGGAGCCGGGGAAACGCCGGCCACCCTCGCGCCGCTGGGGCTGGGCCTTTCCTGGGCCCCTTAATGACCCTCCGGATCTATAAAGCTCCAGACGGCGGTCACTCACGGACGCAACAGGGCTGGGGCGCCGGGGGGCCACCAGACACGGCTACAGGCGGCGGGAGACGTCCTGCTCCTCCCCCCGGGGCCTGACGACCTCACACTCAGCAGCAAACAGCTCCAGGAGCCGAACCTGCGCCCCTCAGCACCCCTCAGGAACGAGGCGCAGGACGGAAGCCAGAGGAGGGACGTGTCGCCGGCAAAGCCCATCAACAAGTCCTGGGGAGGAAACACAGAATCTGGGTCGTAAAATAAAATCTTACCTTTTTTCTTTTCCTTTGTGCTTAGTCCAGCTCGCACCCAGCCCTTCGGAACAAAGGCCCGGCTGTGAAACGGCTGCGCCAACACCACAGCCCAGCGGGCCTGCACCCAAAGAAGCTGCACCCATCACCGTGATTCAAGATGGCGGTGAGGGGGCCGTGTGCAGAGACGCTGCACCGGGCCCCGCAATCTGGAGCATAGCTGCGCCCGACACACCAAAACTCCGCCCCCCTCCCCGCTCACAGGAACCAATAAAGCAGCCAGGCGAGTGCTTTCCGGGGGCGTGTATGCCAGAGCGTAAGCTCTCACCTCTCCCTTCTCTCTTCTCTGATCAAAGACTAAAGCTTTCCTTTGCTTCTCATCTGAACTTGGGATCCTTCTATGGGCACCAGGCGGAAGGACTCCTGTTGGGGTCTGACTCGGGAGGGTCGGTAACAGAACAGGAAGAAATCAAACCCTCTTCTGCCCAATAAAGGTATGTGACATCTCCTAAGGGAGAAGCAGTGAGCTAGCTAAGAAAATTATTGGTTTCTTAGATGTGAGTGCAGTCTGCATCGTTCCCTTGAAAAGTGATTATTTACTCTTGGAAACTTGTGCCTCCCCTCCTGATAGAAGCCAGGTGAGGTTTATAGACCTTCTTGTTCTATCAGGTCAGAGGCTTAAAGAAACAGACGCTCAGGAACCTCTCAGGTGGGATCCTGGAAGAAAATCCGTTGTCCGGGAGACCCAGGCTCACACGAGACCCAGGAGCCAGCAGCATCAACTGTTTTCTCCTTCACACGCCCCACCCTACTGACCTGAGCCCCAGCAAACGCCCCTGTCACTCTAAACGGAGTGATTTAGACTTGAGACTTGGCGACTGGCCAGGGGAATGGAGCCTGTCGCAGGTGATGAGACCCTTCTGGGGATGAGGTTTTCCTACGAGGACGGGTCTCCTGAAGGTGATGGGTAGAGATTCACGTGAGAGTTGAACAAGGGCCCTCAATAAAAAAACCAGGGGCAAGAGGAATGGTGTGGACCCTTGGGAGTTCCCACGAAGGGACCTTTTTGCAAAAGGCCCAGTTCTTTAAGTGATTTCCCTTTTAGAATCTGGGAAAAGACAAGTTGTCAAAAACTTAAGCCATTTCCTTCTGCACTGAAATAAATTCCCTTTTGAGTTTATTCCGGCCCTTGAGTTAACTGAATTAGAATATCCCTCCCAGTGCAGTGCTGCAGTTCTAGGGAGGCTGATGGGACAGGGTGATGAGATGGGAAAGGGGACCCAGTCTCCTCTCCTCTACTCACTGACCTACTGGGGAGAGAGTATCATCCTGTCAAGTGGACCGTGACCCAGAAACTCAGGTCTTGAGCGACAGCCCTGTGGAGGGTGACAGAGCCAGGAGGTGAGGGGAAATTCCGCACAATATCAGGGAGCTCTTAGTGCAAGGCTCAAGCACGCCAGTGAGAATGAATCTGCTGTCTGTCACTACATAACCCACCCGAGACATAAGTGGCTAAAACAGCGGTCATTTATTCATTGCTTAGTACAGTTGTGAGGGCGATTAGGCGGTGTTGTTGCTGGTCCCCCTGGGCTTACTCACAGGCCCAGCTGGAGGCTCCGCTGGTGCTGGGTGTCCAAGACGGGCCTCACTTCCATCGCAGGGCTGAGCTGGGATGGCTGGAAGAGCTGGGATGGACTGATTTCTCTCTCCACGTGGCCTTTCATCTCAGGCTGCTTACAGTTTGGTGGTCAGGGAGGGAGTCTGATGGGGTAAGCTGTGAGCTGAGGTCTCCTAAAGGATTAGAAGGCAGCAGTGAGTTTGCCCAAGGGTGAGAGGCTGGTAAGAGGGAGGAAAGTGATTTATAAGAGGGAAAAACATGTGCCAAGATCCTGTGAGGGAGGAGGAAGTATGATGCTTTCTAGAAAAACAGGAATAAAGTTAGGCTGGTTACTGCACAGAATACAAGAAAAGATGGAGGGTGGCTGCCAGGTCATACAGGTTCAAGGAGCTGAGGATTTTCTGTTTAATCTTCATACTAGGAAAAATGGGAAAGATTAAAAGGTTTTAAGCAATGCGGTGACATGATACAAGTTGCTCTTTAAAGAAAGAGCATGGGGGTTTCCCTGGTGGCGCAGTGCTTAGGAATCCGCCTGCCAATGCTGGGGACATGGGTTGGATCCCTGGTCTGGGAAGATCCCACGTGCTGCGGAGCAACTAAGCCCATGCGCCACAACTACTGAGCCTGTGCCTTAGAGCCCGTGCTTCGCAACAAGAGAAGCTACAGCAATGAGAAGCCTGCGCACGGCAACAAAGTAGCCCCTGCTCGCTGCAACTAGAGAAAGCCCGCGTGCAGCAACAAAGACCCAACGCAGCCAAAAATAATTAATTAATTTTTTAAAAAAAATAGAGCATGGTTATATATTCGAGGTATTGCAGGGGGACTGGAAGCAGGCTTTCTCAACCTCAGCACCATCGACATTTTGGACCAGATAATTCTCTGTCAGTGGTGGGAGCTGTCCTGTACATTGTAAGATGCATAGCAGTGTCCTCGACCTCTACACACTAGATGGCAGTAGTCACTGCCCCTGCCTCCCCCCACTTAGTTGTAACAACTGATAATGTATCCAGACATTACCAGATGTCCTCTGGGGGAGCCGAATTCCCAGTTGAGAACCACTGGGCTGGAGTGAATGCAGGGCTTCTCTGGCCAGTATGACTGTCTTCCAGGAGAGAAAGAGCCCAGCTCTTCACTGGGCTTGAGTGGTGGAGCTGGAGCTGAGATAAGCAGATGGGATTAGAGATTCAAGGAGATGAACTCAACAGTATTTGGGTGGACAGACCCATCAGGACAGTCCAGTCCTCAGTCCTCCCTCCGCTTCCCTCCTTCAACATTCTACCCGCTCTGAAAAAAGAATCTGGTGTTGGGAATACTCATGGTCAGATGGCAAAAGGATAACACGTGAAGTATAAATTTCATGTTCACTCCTTTGTTATTTGTTGATGCAAGGCTCGAGCAGGGTCAAAGTCTGATCAAGGAAATGATTGAAGATCAGCAAGGCAGTGTGTTTACAGGCTTAGTTTGGAATAAGGGAGGTCTAGGGATTTGGAGAGCAAACCCTGAGCAGTGAGGGCAGTGGAGAGAGGGCTCTGGAATGAACTTGCATGAATCACTGGCAGCAAACCTTAGCAGTGAGGGCTGCACCTGTCCGATGTCCCAGCCATCAGCCCACCTGTCTGCAGAGGCCAGCTCGTTCTTTCTTATTGTAATTGTGCCCTCCTTCCCTTGGTTTTTACACAAAGACTCATAGTTCTCTATCCCGTGCCTGCCTGTAAGGAAGGATTGTGAGTTCCCAACCCTAAAATACTTGGAATTCGTCGGATAAAAGATCCTGCCCTTATTTCTGTACCTACAGAGTGCAGTTTTCTGCAGGAGAGGAAAGGCTGTGTTTTCTGCCCCTATAAAGAAAAATTAGAAACCAAAACCCCTTTCAAATCAAGGTATTTTCCTTGAGTCAAAAGCATCTCCTGAGCCTCCAGCCAAGTCCATTAAAGGCTTTGTTAGATGATCTAAAGCTACCAGGGTTCATAAAGGGGTTCATTCAGGCTGAGCTCGAGAAGTCTGTCCTTTCTCTGCTTCTCACATGCAGAGGAAATTGAATGAGAAATTTTCACGTCATTTCTACCCTACCCACGCTCTTTTCTTTCTGACTTAATGAATATAGTCACCCAGAAGATAACCAGTCATGTTATGGTCTATTTTACTGTGAAAGTGTTATTATTAAATTAATGACAATGTAATCACATAAAATTTGGAAAACAGTATGAAAAACTGTCAATTCTTTTCTTCATGGTCAGAAGGCTGGTGCCTTTCCATCCACCTCCCAATATTTCTACTGGACAAAGGTGACCATGAATCATCACCACAAACCACAGAGCCAGCAGCCAAGACCCTGTCCTACCCATTCTCACTTAGAAGTGAGCAGAAGACTCTTTTAGAGTAAATTCCAATTAATAAACTTAGATGGGTTGGCAGAAATGTTAAAAATTACCATGTGGTACACATCATAGTAGTAATAGTTATAGGTAAGAATAAATGCTAAAATTACTAGGCAAAAATATGATGAGAAACAAGATATTGCATACTTCCCTGGCAGGGGAGATACGATGGTCACAAAGGTGGTTTTCCCAGGACGAGCGTCATCCATTGCACTCTGGATGTGCTGACCCCTGAGATTTCCCCAAATATGGGAAACGCGACTGCATAATTTGTGGTAGTGGGGGACTGCGTTTGTGCTTTTCCCTGGAAAAAAAAAAAGAAACAGGATATTGGCATAGACTCAAAGTTATATCGCCACAAAACCCTTAGTAAGTTGAAAGGGAAATAGTAAATTCACAGTGGAGAAACCTGTGACTGAGTTAATATCACCAATGCTGAAACACATCTACATCATGGGTCTCCTAATACGATGTCAGCTTGACTGTCTACAGAGTGCCCAGATTCACCATTGTTTCTGGGTGAGTCTGTGAGGACGATTAGCCTTTGAATCAGTGGACTCTTTAAAGTAGATTGTCCTCCCCAGTGTGGGTTGCCACCCCCCAACCTGTTAAGGGCCTGAATAGAAGCAGGGCGGAAGACAGAGGAATTCACTCCTTTTTTTCCTGTCTCACCACTTGAGTGGACATCTCATCTCATCTTCTCCTGCCCTTGGACTGGGATTTACATCTTTGCCTCCCTTGGTACTCAGGCCTTCTTCGGACTTGGACTGAATTACACCACTGGCTCTCTTGGGTCTCCAGTTTTCAGACGGCAGATTGTGAAACTTCTCAGCCCTCATAATCATGTAAGTCAATTCCTCGTAATAAATCTCCCTTATCTAGGTATGTATGTATCTCTATCTATGTATATGTCGATGAAAAATAGATCAATAGTCAACCTAAGAAAGAAATGGAAAATTTTATTGGTGCCAACCCGAGGATTATAACCGCGGAACACAGTCTTTTAGAAAGCTCTGAGGACTGTTCTGCCCCGTTAGAGATCAAAGCACAGTTATATATGTTTTTGACACAAAGGGTAATTTGTCAAATGACGTATTGACAGTTCCACAGTCCAGATCTGCAGATACAAAGTAAGTAGTGGGACATCTGACACCTTACAAATTAAGAAGGCAGGTTATCTCCTGAGGAGTTATCAAGTAATGGGTCATCCTGACTCTTTACAAGGTTAAGAAGGAATGTTATCTCCTAAGGAGGTCTGGTCAATGCAGATGCACAATACACACTAAAGGGGAGGGAGGAGGCCCAAACAAAGAGAGAAAAGTTAAATTTTTCTTGTCTTGCCATAAAATATGAATTTTATTTCATCTCCGGTTAGTTTTTTTTCTCTGGAAGGACACAACATCATTTCTGTGTTATTCTTGCCAAAAATGCGTACCTGAATCTAATCACAAGAAGACATTAGACAAGCCCAAAATTCACCGGGAACCTTCGTGTTGCCGAATTCAATAATCATTTCTCATTCCACGTTTTACTCAACCTATAAGTATTATGTAATATTGTTAAACAGCTGTCTTTAAATCACTTCCTTCTCTTGCTCTCTAGGGCATAACTCTCTTTTGATTCTCCTCCTAACTTATAGTTAGTCTCCTCTTCTGATTTCTTTTCATCTTCCTACTAATGGAATTTTACTTTCCATCAACTGTACTGACCCCCAAGGTGATCTCATCCACTCCTATGGCTTTGTAGCTGCAGGAGGACCACTGATTACATTCTCATTCTAGGCAGCAGGAATAAAGAAGGGAAGGATAAGACCCCCAACCAACACCCTTAAATATAAGCACAAAACTCCTCCACCTACGTTCCACCAGCCAGAATTTAGTCCCACGGCCGCTCTTAGCTGGAAGGACCACGTGCCAAGCTGCCAACAAGGTTCTGTTATCGCAGAATAAGAGAAGGACAGACATTGGATAACTAATAACTCTTCTATAGGTGGCAAATCTTATCACTCCTCTGGTTTACACAGTGCAGAAGTCAGACGGATCTAGAATAAAACAAGTGGATTATTATAAACTTAATCAGATGTTAACTCTATTAACAGCTGCTGTTCTAGGTAGAATTCTTTCCTAGAGAAAATTAACACAGCACCTGGTACCCAATATGTAGCTCTTGAGCTGACAGTTTCTTTCCTCTCAGGGAACATAATAGGCTGTTGGATGTTATCCTGATGTAGAATGAATGACATAAAGTGACAGAAGGCGTTTTGTCACAATTTGGTCTGCAGTGACTTTATCATCTCCTTATTACACAGGGTATCAGTCTGGTCCACTACATTGATAACATCATGCCGATAGGACCTGTAGAGTAGGAAGTAGCAGGCTTTGCACTAAGTGCTTATCTCAGGGAGACGTGAGCTGCTGTGGTGTATCAGCCACACTCAGGGACAGCACTAAATAAGTTGATGTGAAATATTCCCTGTCAGCAAAATTTTGAGTAGTACGTGTACATCATTACCCACTTTGCCTAGAAGGCATGGCCTGAGAAATATGAACAGACATGAAGGTTTATGTCCCTTTCCCCCCCTTCCTTCCTCCCTCCCTCCCTCCCTCCCTCCTGTCTATCTGTCTATCTATCTATCTATCATCTATCATAGCTAACATTTTAGCCAGATGATAGGAATTAATGGTTGGAAGATTTGTAACAAGTTCTAGGGAAGAGATACATGCACGGATGGATGTATCTTTTGGCATTGCAGTGAGACAGTATTTTCGTCCTGTGTGAATGCCCACTGGAAGTCCCTCCCTGCTGAGGATGTTTTCAAATTGGGTATTCCCACTCTACGACAGCTCTTTGCTCAGCCTCTTCGAGACCTGCCTGATGAGTTCATGCACAAAGTGGCAAAGGTGCTAGGGATGGAAACCGTGCCTGGACTCAGTAATACAGATACCTTCTCTCCAAGTTAGCCTGGCTGCTGTCACTGCTGAGCGTCCAGCTTGCCCACAACAGCAGCACCCAACCCTGATACCCTAATGTGGCGCCACGCCTTGGGTACACGAAGCCGGCCCAGCCATCAGATGGCATGTTGATGCCACGGGCCCCTCTACTGTAGCTGGGGCAACAATTTGTCCTCAGTGGAATAGACACCTTCTGGATTTGTGCCAGCCCCGCCATCCCTGGGACTTACTGAATGCCTTATTCAGGGTCATGCATTCCGTTCCAGAGTTGATTCCGATCAAGGGCACTTAACCATGTGCGTGAGCTATGGGGCTGCAAATTCTCTACATCAGTTTCACTAGATTAGGTCTAACCGGCCCAGGGTCCTGACCTCCTCAATATAGACTTTCTTCCAGTTGCACCCCATCATCACCTGGACCAGGCTTTTCTTTCACTTGGTGGTTCTGCTTCCTCCTAGAGGGCGCATGTCCGTCTATACTTCTCCCCCACGCCCTGCCTCCCATGCTGCGAACTGCTGCTGCTTCTCGCTTCCAGAACTATGAACGAATACATTTCTATACGGATGGCTGCTGCACACCCAGCTCGTGGTGCTTTATTACAACAACCCTAGGCAGCTAGAGCCGTATTCATTCATTGATTTCAGAAATATTTGCTGGGCATCTACCATGTACCAAGCACTCTTAAAGACACGGAGGAATACAGAAAAAAAAAAAAAAAACAAGAACAGATTAATAGTGTCTATTCCAGCTTAGTAGAGGATGACATATAAAGAAGTGAAAAAAACCCAAAACCTAATAACTTCAGATAATAGGGAGAGCTCTGAAATAAATACAGCACTTAGAATCTTTCCTTTTAAGGACACCAGTCATTGAATTTAGGGCCCACCCTAATCAAGTATGACCTCGTTATTATTATTTCTGGCCATGCCACACGGCTTGCAGGATCTTAGTGCCCTGACCAGGGATTGAACCCTGGCCACCCCAGTAAAAGCCCCGAGTCCTAACCTTTGGACCTCCAGGGAATTCCCAAGTATGACCTTATCTTAACTTGATTACATCTGCAAAGACATTATTTCCAAATAAGATCACGTTCACAGGTGGGAATATTGGTGTTCAGACTTCAATATATTTTTGGGGGGAATGGGGGCACATTTCACCTCGCAACAGATCAGGGCTGGGAGAGTGGCATCTCTGTAGAGACTATAGATAAGTGAAGACCTAAATGATAAGCCATGTTGCACAGCACTACTGCAGTGTAGACACCAAGTGCTAATAGCTCTTGTAAACAAACAAATCCGGTGGGAACTAGTGGGTTTTCATTGGTGAAATGAATAGCTCATAATTGGCATCTGGGTGTAGAAGTGGATCCTCGCTGGTGACTCAGTGGTACTCAAACTACAAGAACAGATTAAAATATTTTAGACAGCATCATGTAAAACAAGGTAGACATAACTTCGAAAGACTTCCCTCTCTCTTCATTTGGCCTGGATCCCAAGGCAACTTTCTGAAATGGTCTTGCGTGTCCAGCCATGATTGCAGAGAATTTTGATTGCCGGTGGGTTAACTACTTATCTCTAGATTACTGTAACTGTCTCAGGTCAACCTTTCCTAAGGTGTAGTTACAGCATATATAAGGACAGGGAGCTGGGACTTTATGGAGTTTACAGAACAGGTTATGTGAACTGTTTTTGTGCTTGCCTGCTCATAAATATTTGCTACTAGCTGACTCTCCTTGTGGCAGAATTCCATCTGAAATCAGCTGTCATTAAAATTCTGTAGCAAGGTTGTTGCGGAGTAGTTAGCCTTTTCTTTTTTTTACTTAAATTTGGAAGCTACAAAATATACCAAAAAGGCTCTGGGATCCCCATAGGCTCTGACCTCAGTCTCCATTTTGAACCCTCTTTCTCTCTCTCTTTTTTTTTTGGAGTCTTAACCACTGGACCGCCAGGGAAGTCCCTGAACTCTCTCATTTGAGCCTGCTTCTGAATGTTTCTGACCTCATCCTGGACCTGCACTTTCTGCTTTTCTCCTGGTCCCTTTGATTGATATCCTGGGTGGCACTGTCTATCTTTCTCTTTCAGTTTCCTTCCAGATATTGCCTCTTGGAACATCCTTGACTCCAGGTGCTGCTGCTAAAATTAAGTCCTAACCACCTAGGAACAGCACAGGTCCCAGGAACCCTGCCTGGGAGGAGTGCTCCAATTTCTCTTTTCTAGTCAGATCACTTGGGCATTTTTTAGAGTCATAGGAAACCTTCAAGCCAGTTCCTATCTCCGTTGTTACATATCCCACATTAGCAGTCAGCATAATATGACATATTCATTAACCTGGACTTCAAACTGCATTGAGAAAAACA